AACGGAAGAGCACAGAGCTAGGAGCCGAGTAGTTTTTGAGGTACCGTTCACCTTTTCCTCGTTTGTTCCAAGTTGTTAAGTGTATTAATAATGATTTTACTACTATATCAGGGATATTGAAGCACGTTGTCCTAGCCATTAGAAAAATAGACTATCAGCGACGGCGACAAGGCCGACATGTAAGCCAAACAAAGTTGTTAATATCTTGGCAGTGGTTTGAACATCTAATCAGAATAGACTATCAGTTAACTCTTCACTTCATAAGCTCGGAAAATCTTAGATTTCCATCGGGAAAATGTGCTAGTGTGGAAAAAGCCCATTTCTCTTGGAAGTACATGTTTTTCAGAAAGACCACCATAAAGATAAGTGTCCTCTGCATATGCTGGAAAATGATGATTGATTTACTTTGAAAATAGAGGTACAACTTGGAGAAAGCTTTAAGGGGTACGACACTTCTATAAATTCTGGATACAGATGACACCCACAGAAATTCGAGACATAGTATAAATCACCTTACAACTTAAAAATTCCGATAAGATGACAAAAAGAGGCACAATCGATTTTACAGACCAGTAATTACAGCACAAGTGATTTCACAGATCAATGATTTCAATACAACAAATATGGGATGAAATTAAAGCTAGAATTTACTGGCTGTGTGAAAAGCGAATGTGAGATCGTTGAGAGGAGTTGAGGTGAAGCCTGCCACGGACTTGAAGTACTCCCATGATTCTGCTTGGCAAGGCGAGTAATGGCGCCAACGCAACAGCTCTGCCAATGAACTTTGCTAGAATAAGAAAGAGATCCATTCATTGATTTACACAACGCAAACTGAATATGAAGAGTATACGAGTAGTATATAGAAGGTAGCCATCTAATTCTCCTAAATATTTTAGAGGCCTTTTGTTGAATGAATGTCAGTGATTTCAGAGACCCCTTAAAAATCCCAGGAGATAAAGAGCGGTCCATAAATAAGAGCGGTTTGGGCTAGAAAATGAAAATTGACGTTTGTATACGTTTTTTTTGGCGTTGTGTGCTCATGATTATCGCAATAAAGCGTAACAATAGAAATCGAAGAAGAAATAAGAAAGGAAAAGAAGAAAGAAAGAGAAAAAAGAATACAGAATACCGTTTTAAAATCGGATTTTTCTATATGAATTGTTTATTAAGTGGGCGGGGTTTAGAAGTTGAGGGGGGCGAGCTTCTTCTAAACTTCTTCTCCGATTTTTATTTATCCATCCATCAAGTTAGAGGGGTGACTGCATTCAATTTCAATTTCATTCCAATTCATTTTTCACCGGTAAATTAAACCGCTCTTATCTATGGGATTTTAGGGTAATTTAAATAAGTTGGAAAAAAGCCACTAACTGAGATACTACAAAGTAAAGTCTCCGAAAACCTCGACGGGACCGGCGTGTTAACATTCAAAACATAGGGTCGAAGGTGTAGCCACTTAGAGTTCCCCATCTCAGGCGAGAGTAATGGTACCCAGATAGATACAGCTCTTGTGCTGTAACGGAACCGCGGACTGATCCGGGGGATGTTACCCACAAGAAATCAGTGATTTCATATCGTGAAACTGACGCGAAGGCGTAACCAACAGTCAAGGGCAGAAGAACTGGGAACGTTCAAACGGCTCTATTCCAAAAGCAGGTACATAATAAGGTGGTACAAATGCCATAGTCCAAACATCTAACTGAATGGACAAAATGCACCACAAACGCACAGCAGCACTTTCTAACTAAAGCAGCGTACCATCGCGCGCCTGCATGTGACTTGCATAATACTTGGAAGAAGTCGCCGCACAAAGCATGGGCCTTTATCGCGGGTCAGTAATCCATGAAGGTACATAATCTGGGAAACATTTCAACAAGCGATCAGTCATTCTAACCCTAAAACGATCCTTTTTGCCATTCTTGAAAAAGAGAGTGGTTCAGAGGGTTCAAAAGTATGACAGTTTCCACAGGGAAGATACCCTGTAAAACTACTACACGACTACTTGAACATAGTAACGACCTCATCTTGATCGTTCGGTAAAGGTCCCTGGCCGGCAGCTTCTGCTCTCTCCGCGAAGTCTTCTTCGGTAGAGGTCCCAACAACAGGAGTAATGAAGGATTCAGATCCATCACTAGAATCTTCGTCTGAAATTAGATAGTGTATATGTATTCTGTAATACTATTATTATTTTATCTCAGCATTGTCCATATCTGATGGGATCGTACAGCCTTTGTTTCACCTACTCCACTCAAAGGCTGTGTTTCCAATGATTTCCCTCAAGAAAACTGTACATTCACATCGGTGGATTGCGGTCCTTGCCACTCGGTGGGGTGAATGGGTCCGCAACTGCAGCGATGTCTTTTTTCCCATTTGAACGAGTACGGCAAGAGAGCTTTAGGACATGTTACCTCGAAGCCGTCTTCATACTTGGCCTACGCTGCCGCACGTCTAAGCATAGCAAATACACTTCATGTGCGGGAAGTTTACATCGACGCAAGTGCTGCACCTCGATAGCGGGGCTGGAGGGAGTATGGAGGTGGCATCCGGGTATCACTACCCTACAGCGGAAAAAGTAGCACGCTACTGCAGACCCGTCGACCTCGCTCATGGAAAGGACCGTCTCCGAAGGTTAGTGTACAGTTTGCCTATGGAACATTACATATCGCCATACTGCGTGTGCCACCGCGTTTTTTCTTTATTTTTCCAATAACCAAGAATCTGTCGATATATTGTTCTAATAATATAAAAACATTCAGCACTGGATCCGAAAAACATGAACACAGTTCTAGAAAATGAAGAACTATCGAAGAATTCGAATAAAAGGCTTTTACTCCGCGACTTTGCATGAGGCACATGGTGGTGCGCTCTGTCTGCAATGTGTTACAGTTGATATCGTAGCAAACAGCCGCAACAAGAAAGCCAGGAGGCATGGAACGAGCCAACCAGGAACGTTTTCCACCACTGGTCGTTTTCTCCCCGAACCAATCACTGTCGCTCGAAAACGTAATCGAAGGTGGAATCCTTTCCACGCCTGACACCGTCCCGAGTCGATTGTGAAAACATCACCTAACGCGAAAAAGATTCACCATATACAGGTCTCAGGAATCGCGCCAAACGCGGTACAAGCTTGAAAGTAAGTCCCATGGACACCCAATGGATCATGCCGGCCTACTTCGTTACCCTATCCTCCCCGTCGTTTTTTGGTCTCTTTCCCTCACTCTTCGGAGTATGGTCACCTCTTGCAATTGCAGTTGATCATAGCAATATTATTTATGTACAGTGATCACATTCAGCTGCAGGAAGGAAGGGCTGATTGGATTGTGGTGTACTTCCCAGGTGCGACATTGCCGGATTCGAGAGGAAATCTTTATGGGCAGTGTCCAGACTGATCGCCCTGCTTGCAACGTCTACTTCGCAGCAATTTGGAAGTGAGAGCTCGCCTTCCTGAGGTCGGTCTTTTTCTACTTCCCTCTTAACTGGTGAGTGAGCTGGCACCAACTCTATTGTTTTTAGACCCCAACGCCTACGAACGGCAATCGCAGAATCTGCGTTCAGGTATAGTGTTAAACACATTTCTATAATTTCTACAACATACATTTCGCCAAAGCCACCCCCTCCGGTATACTGATATTTGGAACAGTTTATCAAAGAACCGACACTAAAGAAACTACGTTAGTGTTCGCTACCTGCTTCGTCATCAGCTTCATCTGGCAGCAGCCCACAGCCACCACAAGAGCACCCCAACAGATCGTGGGTCTCACAGTCCTTCTCACCCACTGTGAAAATGCTTTCTAGTTCTTCATCAGCAAAAGATGGTTTAGCTGAAAACGGACAGATTAGCTATGCAATTTCATCCGGTTGTTAACTAAATCTGTCGCAAGAGCATCTGTTGTCTCTATTGTACACTGACTGCGACACAGTCAGCAACCGCGTCGATAATTCAGCTGATTCGAAAGAAGTAGTGACTGAGCTTTCAAAACCTACATGGTTGTTCAATGAGATTAATCATGGAGGTCAACCCAGTCTTCTTTATCTGACGATGGAGAATTTTCTCATCAACTGTGCCCTGTAATCATTCTTTTACCAC